CTTGATTTATGTACATTGTGAGTTTGACGGCGATCAGTGAAGCGAGCTTCACTGTATCTCGCTGTACGATGATGATAAATATGATCTATTTGAGTTCAGAGCTGATCAGACGATGGAGGTCGCCAGGTCGCACGTTGGCGCCGAGGTCGGCGAAAATTGGTGCTCGAAAGGAAAAAACCATGCTCAGCGCAGATTTGCAGGAGACGGTCACCGTTGTCCGTTCTTCTAACACTGAGGCTATGCTGCCCTCGACTGAGGTTTCGTCAGTGTCTAAACTACCTACTTGTGCGTTCAAGTCGCCGACTAGTATCACAATGTTAGTGTGTCGTCTACTATAGAGGAGGTTGGTGAGCTGATGGTAAAACTCGCTTTTTTGTATCGGGAATGCAGTTTGTGGGCGCATAAGCTACGTGACGAACAGACAGTTTTTTGATGCCATTACGAGAGGCCCTTAGCGATCCTTCTAGAAGAATGGTGCAGAGTCCACTATTGATTGGAATCCAGTCGAGTAAAGCTGCTTCTGCNCTTCCGGATCTCCCGAGAGGCGGAGGATGAACGAGCTTGCTGAATCGGGAGATGGTGAAATGAGTTGCAGTAGGGTGCTCAAATCCTGCAGGCGTGTCCCAGTAGGGCAGCAAACGTCCATGGCAAGCGTATCCAGTGTTGCCTGAGCCCCAAATTGCATAAGATTTCGAACGTTGAAAGTGGCTAACTTCGGCTGCGACCGGGGCGCGAGTACTGTTTTCCGAATAACCTGAGCGAGTGCTTGCTTCTTTCGCATAGGCACAAGACTGGCTTTTTCCGTTGTCTTGAGTAACACACTGTTGGAGACTCAACATAATGGGTGGTAAGCCGAAATGCATAGAAGGCAGTTAGATTAGTACTTCTCTGTTACTGAGAAATTTCCCAGTTTGATGCGTCGGAGTATTCTCAGATTTAATCATCTGTCGGTAATTACTGTGCAGCTAATAAACCGAGTTTATGCAGAGCTCTTCGAAATAGAACGGTTGTAAATCCCGATCGGAACAATATAGTCATTGTTCACCAATAACGATTGCATTTGACGATGACAATGCTCACTACCCGAGTTTTCATGTCAAACAGGATGGGTGAGACACTGATCCCAGAATTCTGAAGAACCTACTGCAAGTTATATTCAGATCCCGGAAAACTGAGGCCTTTACTATAGAACAGGCTATTCAGAATGACCAGATGGCAAGCCTAGACGAAAAGCAGTGACCATGCTTACAAAGACCTAGGCACGGTTATTCGAAGAAGAAATCAGTGCTGATCAGCTACGGTTATGGTTGAACTGGTATCGTCATAAGGTGGGGTAACAAAACGAACTTACCTTCCGGATACCAAACCCACGAAATATAGGATTGCTTGATGGTTGTGACACACACAGTGCATTCAGGTAGTCGCAGGAAGATACAACTCGACAATTACCGGACTGAAACAAAAACGACAAAAACTGTATGGTGAATTTTCTGGTGTGCAGAGTAAATGAAGCGTGAACTGAAAGGCTGAGAAGCACTAGAAAGCTCTTCGACCTGGTTGGGTTTCATCAGCAGTGCCCGAATCCATCGACCCAACTGGGGCTAAAAATTATATCGTAAGGGCGTGTTAGAGGATAATCAATTGTACGAATCGCGTGTTTCTCTTTTTTTTCATCCACCCTCGTAGATCACAAGGTTTTTGTGCACAATTAAACTACCTCAGATATACGATCGTCCGGAGAAACAGGAACCGGGTAACAACAACTATGCGTGCCATCATATTCGCTAACAGACAAGCTTTAAGACATTTGCATATAATAATCCCAAGTGTCAAAAGTCAGTTCTTCAGGAAATGATCTCGATATATTTGATCTAGTCCACTGGACACGAATCACATTTGAGAAGGGAATCACAGGAGTTTATATATAACCCTGAACCAATCAGATTGTTCGACGGGCAAAATTGAAGTCTTACACGGACCAATCATAAAAACACAATTGATGCAGTAAAACAAAGATCAATTCAAACAACACACCAAGGATGGCCCCTTCATAATTTTTGACAATGTCTTGCGCCACTGAGAATGTTCATGAACTTTGAGGAAATCACGAGCTGTTATGCTACAGAAGCTATACACCTCGGTCAGTGACCTTGTTATCTGCAGAAGCAAAGAATTCCGAACAGAAAAGTGAGACACCTTTGGAACATATGAAGACTTCTGTATTGGGTTAATCATTAAGTGATCTCACCAGTTTCGAATCCTCTCTCCTAAACACACGTAATCAATATCAGAGTAAACGCGCATGATTATGGCTCGCTAACACTGATATATTGACACTGACAAACAACTGCCCCATGCACCGAAAGTTGCTCTCAGTATAACGGATAACGTACCATGGAGTCCTTTATGGCCTCATCAAGTAGATTACGACCAACAACAGCGACCGATGAGCACTGGATCATGCAGTGTACCCTTGGAGTAGGGCAATGAGGCACAGATCGATTAACCCAAGTGGTTAACAAGAGGAATATGGTGGAAGGATTCGAATTTAAGTAGACTTGGTGGATATGCTCTGATGACGAGTTACAAAATGGAACACTTGTCCAGAGGTCCAAGGGCACTGTTCAATGAAGAGTGACACGCTCAGTGCGCATAAAAAATACTTCTTGTATAAGAGATGCAAGTTCTCCATACCGCTGTGGTTGCTGTTCGCATTTTGTCCATTTAGTGTAAGTCAGTTCGCTATTTCGCAGTGACTCGAGACAGTTCTTTGTGCGAATTAATTGTAGCCTATATCCGATTAGGTGTCAATACCGAATTAGTAGCATAATAAGTATTGTGGTGACGTAGTGAGTTTTGAGATGTGTCTGAGAGGATGAGCCCCTCTTAATTGGTAGGCTGTTATGTCCCAAGGGATATACAGTGTCGCTGGCCTTTATGATTTAACTAACTCTTATATGTGATTCCAATTTGAGCCAGTATCCACGCTCCGCAAACCACTCAACAGACGGGTTCAACCATATTGAGGGTAACCGAACATAAAAACAACTCAATGAGATAGCGTGGGACACATGAGGAAGGCTATTTTTCAGTGGGTAGAAGCGACTGACAATCTAATCCAATGGATATAAAGGAAACCTGATCAGCTAACAGGAACGCACGGATCCCTGGGTTGTATTTACATCTACCGGATGGCGAATGAGCACCTAGGGAGCTATCAACAACCATTCACTAAAGTATTACTACATTTTAATTTCTCCTCGATTGTTTGAAGATGCGCCCTCAACAAGCCGGATGATTAATTCTGACTCCTTTTTTATTACACACATTTTTGTGATGAACAGCAGACGGGCGAACCCCATAGTCACGAAGACCTGCTGCTCCGCCACGGAAATCGGTAACCTAAGCCCCTGGACTTGGAGTGGCGAACCACATAAGGCCCCGCTAGGTTGGGCGTGATACTAGACCGAACGAGAGCAAAGCTGCCTACCACCAAAGGTGGATGGCGGTGGCGGGACTGTACCAAACTCCCGTGAAACTTCATACTTATCTTCTCCAAGGAGCCAACTAAAGTAAATTACAACAAAGTAAGTACATTGTGTGACGAAAAATGAGTGTGCACATGAACAGTAAACACAACTAACAGAGACGCGAGGTTGGCGGACCCACAATGATAAGGAGAAGATTAACGGGATCGCATCATCCACGAATGATCGATGAAGTCCAAAAAGCTACGTCACTCACAACAGTAGTGAATTAAAATTTGTGGTTGCACATGGGTTAAAACGAGGGTAATTTACTAAATATTTCCACATTTTAGGTAATTGAAAGGACCCAACACGTAAAACTAACACTGCCTTTACACTGACAGCCAATCGAAAGTTTGCAAAATTATGCTTCTGGAACCTAGTGCTCCTAAATGGAACAATACTATGCAAAATAAAAAAGATAATGCATTATGTATCCAGTTGCATCAAACGAGAAAAAACTGAAAGGTGCAGACAGCACCGATCCGACTTTCGGCATGCAGTCCCACTCCTGGTTACACATGTAGCATAAAAAAATGTTGCGTCAAACAGAAATAACCGGGGAGAACGACCTACCGGTGATACGGGTATACTTTTGCATAACTCATACATGCCAAGGTAATTTTCACCTTGAGAAGATCTGAAATCAAAAAGAAAACATCTTAACGGAGTGGAGTGAACGACAGAGAAACATGTTTTTATTCCTTGGTTTTATTAGACAAGTAAGTAAGTAAACGGGTGCATTTACTAAGCCCCATAGTACAATACATAGTAGAAGTAAAATCAATGTTACGAATGGTTTAAAAATGTGAGACAACTGAGACCCTGTGTGGTGTGCCGCACATGCCCCAAACAAATGCACTTTTCAATGTGACAAAAAAGTTGTCAATCGCTTATCAATGAGTCAATTAGATATTAACGAATATCACATTAGTTAGTGGAAAAATAAAGTGGATGAGCCCGGAGGAAAATGCTACCTTAATGATCGACAAACAATTGATGCTCTTTGATAACCGATTCTGGGAAGAAAAACACAAACTGCGTTATTAAAGCAAGCGATTCAGTCACCCTTGCAAAGTAATAGGTAATTAAACGTGTGCAAAGAATATTGGAGAATTATGATTTATTGACAACTCCATTCACTCAACACAAAATGAAGAAGAATGAACCGGGGTGCGGGGACCACAGGCGAGGAGTGATTTCCAAATTTTTAGTGGTATAGTGATGGAGACGCACCAAACCACGGTAAATTAAGGATGCAGACACACACACACACAAAACAGATGCAAGCATAAATCCAGCTCTGAATTTAAAAGGACCCTTATAAAAACTTCACAACTGAATTAATTGCGATCCCGCAAGTAAAACTCCAGTGAGGATGACCAATGTGATCACTGATTCAATCACAAAAATTAGGAGTCGCTTTAAATAAATACAAATGGAAGNTAGTGGAAACATTAGCTATCGGAAGAATTAGAACGCGTTAGTAAGAGCACATAAATAGAAAACATACGTTCCATTTGCGGTGACAGTAGCAGCACCACGATCGAGAACAGATGTGCTCGCAAGACGACAACGGGCATTTTGATACTCGTTTCGGAGCAAAACTAACTCCGCCTGAAGTAGTTGATATTTGGCTCTGTGTTCACAAAGCTCTTGTTCGGCTTTACGTCGCAGTTTTCGCTCAGTTGCCAGTTCTGAAAGCGCTCTGTCCCGTTCAGATGTATCCAATGCCTGTTGAAAACGATTCATATGGCGAAAACGTTATATACTTTTGAACCTGGAAGTAATGTACTGGTAAAAGTGGTTAGCTAGCACCAAGAAATTAATTATACTAGTTCAATAAGGGGATTGTACCTCTTTCAGACTCACAAATAAACTGGCACCACCAACAACCTAAATAGCAAAACAGACGTTCAAACCAAAGGCCTGTTGTTCATTGTTCACTAAGAAGTGGTATTCGATTAAACCGTGTCAGATGACAGTGGCTGATCACAACTCACAGGTCAATTTACACACTTCCTGAATCGTCCGTGTATCTGGTGTGGAAAGCCGATCGCTCAGTTTCTACCTTTCGCTGTTCGTTAAGAACAACTCACAGTTGTCAATAATTGCAAGATGGACCAAACAAAGACGACAAAACAGATTTGGTTTGACTGAACGCATCATGTTTGAGTTTTCGGTAATCGTACGAACAACTCAATTGTTTTAATCCTCTACAATAAAAACCGGCAAGTTTACCTGTGAAAAAATGCACTATTTTCTACAAACCGGGCTGGTTCACAGCGAAAATGATACCGTTTCCTCTTTCAAACCGTTGTTACGTAACTGCAATGCAAAACTGTTGTCAATAAGTGAGGCGCTGCTAATCGTATTGCATAATTCCGTTCTGCGTGCCCAAAAGTTGGAATGAATATAATCCGGAAGACGCCAGTGACTACAGAGAAGTTGAGTTATAATGTGAAATGTCTACACAACCGTCCAAATCAGTTCACAGTAGAAAAAATGACACTGCTTTCCACATGTATGATAGGTAGCTCGTTTACACAATCTTTCGTGGTAATGCATAAGGGAAATATACTTCAAAGTGGCATCCGCGATGCCACTGAACCTTTTCTCTTATTCGACATTCAGTATTAAGACAACCGTGGGTAGAATATTTTACCGACCTCTACTTAATATCCCATGGAGAACCCAGTACAGAGTTATCATCGCTTGTGGGATCATGGATAATTGTAAATCACTCATATCCTCACCTGTCTCATTCACTGAACTATAAATGATCGCACAGATGTAATCAGTATGTGAAAAAATGCGACAGGTTGAGCAATGATTCAATAAAGATAAGAACCTATGCGATGAAGCTGAGTAGCGAAGTGACAAGCCGCAGGTAACAGATTGTTGCCATGAGTATTGTGGAGCGGATGTATTAATCAGCCGAAGAATGACAGATAAATATGACTTTTTGTTAACTAGTGAATAGGTTCGAAATTGATCTTGCCATTGAGGTGAAATACTGTTACTACCTTCACCATTGTTACCATTGTTAAGTATCTTGACAAGTGTGCATTTCAACGTCAGAAATACGTAAGCAATCGCATTTGATTCAAAGGAATCAGTTTTATTCGAGAGAAACTCGGCCTCAATGGAATTTACTAATTGGGTTATAGAGTTTCAGTTTAGTTCAGTTCTTACAACCATTAACAATGCAATTAAGTGCCCCGGTTTTGGTTGCCCATTTGCATAAAATAGCAGAATGATTATTAGAATGTTGGGAGCAGATTTAAGCGAAAGGTAGCACATTTTCATAGACTGAAGTTGCAAGAACAATGGGTAGATGCATGAGCGCCACTGCGACACCCAGCCATATCACTCAGTGTCTCTAACCACCGATGACCATGATCTCTGGGTCCCCAGCCAGGGAGCCTAACAGGACCTAGGTGAGCCAGTCTTCTGGTCGGGGTTTTTATACCCTCATGTCAGGTCTTAGCTTGACCGCCCTTCATTTTTTTCCAACCGCTACCTGCCTCACCAAGCATCGCTCTCCGTGGCAACCTATCTGGTGNCTCATGTCAGGTCTTAGCTTGACCGCCCTTCATTTTTTTCCAACCGCTACCTGCCTCACCAAGCATCGCTTGCCGTGGCAACCTATCCGGTAACATGCATAGCACATGTCCCAACCAGCGTAATCTATGAAGGTCGACTACCTGTTCCAGTGGATGACCGCGATTACCTAAAACTCTACGCCTAACCTCGTCCAGTTTCCCCACCACCCTCGTGCAATGCTACGTAGACAGCGGTGTTCGAACACCGACAGTCTATTTCTATCCTGTTCCCGTAATGGCCAAGCCTCTGAACCGTATAGCAGAACTGGTCGAACCGCTGCAGCATATACTCGACCCTTCACAGACAACCGGATATCCGACGGCGCCACAGATTCCTCAAGTTGGAAAATGCCAACCGAGCTTTTTGTACGTGCGCCGACACTTCTTCTGTGATGCGTCCGCCAAGATAACAAAGCTTGTCTACTTTCTCTACAACTTCCCCGGTCAGGGTGAGGCTGGGGACTGGGTCAACCCAATTTTGGAGTAGCATTTTACACTTTGAAGGTGCAAAGTGCATACCAAACATCGCTACACTAGCACTTCAACTATCCAGAAAAGCTTGCAACTTAACTGATTCTTCACTTAGTAGCACAATATCGCCTGCATACTCTAGATTAGACAGTCTGCCACCTGGGAGAAAAACGATACCGATGTCCTCGCACGAGTATAGGGCAGTTTCAAGAATTAAATCTATAACAAAGTTAAAACGAAATGGGGAGAGAGCAACCCTGTCGAACACCACTTTCCGTGGTGAACTCGGGTGAAAAAGTGCCGTAAGCTCGGACTCGGCTTTGGCTATTATTAGAGAGGGAGTGTAATATTGAAATAAACTTCTCGGGCACACCCTTCAGGGAAAGGCAGCGCCAGAGTTTAGAGCGGTCGACCGAGTCGAAATCCGCTTTCAGGTCGAGGAAGATGGAAATGGTGGGTCTACGAAAGGAGTGTCCGTGTTATAAGATTTGAAGAAGAGTAAAGATGTGGTCGATACAACCTCGACCAGGTCTAAAACCAGCCTGGTTCTGGCGCGTGCAATCTTCACGAGTGGCAGACAATCGACGGAGTATGATCCTGGCGAGAAATTTAGAGGCATTGGTAATTAAACTAATTCCTCTATGGTTTTCACAAAAGGACCTGTCGCCCTTCTTGTAAATCGGTATGAATACCGATTCACACCATTCAGTTGGAATCTGTTCCTTTTCCCACACTGAACCCAGGAATTTCGTTAACTCCAAAACCAATGGGGACAGCCCGTCGGGGCCGGAAGCCTTATACCTTTTGAGATAGCTTATTTCTCGGGTAACCTCTATTTCAGATGGAGGACTGATGTCAACTGGCACAGTTGAATCGGAGGTAGGGAGGTCTTGTGCTGACGATGACCAGCTGAACTAACTTACTTTTACTTTTGATTGACTAACTCCTGCGGGAGGATAAGTTGGCTTCTTGGATGTCTCTAATGATGGCGGTCCATGCATGACGATCGGTAGCAAGGTTGACGCAGTGTGAAACCCAGTTCTGTTTCCAGTTGCGAATTCCATATACGGATTGAAGACCCAGTAATTCCAAATCTGCCTAGATCGTACTACTCCAGGTCTTCAATTGAGCACCGGGTCTGCAACGCCATCCACGGCATGGTGCGGAGGCTACAGCCTGTCGCGAGATTTGAGTGTCGCGTCTTCGGAGCACATGGCCAAACCACTGAAGGCGCCGGCG